GAACTGCATTAATAGTGTAGCAACGTTGATATCAATATCATTATGCGAACGCATTTGGTAACAGGCCACACACACACTAATGCTTCACACACCAACAGCGGTGTGGAAGGATTTATCGGATGACCACTCACAAATATGTTAACAGTAGGCCCACAATAAACAACATTAGCTTGGCTACAAATGACATACTATACATATTATAATATTGTGCTTGTTTAATCCTTGAGATAATTGCCGTATTGACTAAAAACAACTGTTTTCAGAAAATTACATCTTTTGCAAGTGGAGGATGTGCAACTCATTTATGCACACCTAGAGCCGGTCACAGACTTGCCTGCAGGGACTTGCCTGCAGGGGGTCGCGAGCTGGGAGAACGAACCGAATTCACACTAAAAAAGTACCGGGACTTGGTCAATCGCCATTACCACCGAATAACATTTTTGGTGTGCGATAGCGACCACCTCGGTGAGTCCGGTACTAAATGATAGCTTTCCCTGAGATTCTATTTGTAAAGAAATTGCTATTTGTAGCAATTGCAAAGTGGATATATAGGTTGATTGCTATAGATATTGTTCATTACACATAATGGGTATTGTACTTGATATATACTTAGTCTTTTCATTATACTTTAATTCAGATGATACATCCTCATCAAGTGACAGTGCCACCAAGCTACCAGACCTATCATACCATCCAGTTGGTTTTATTTAGAATTCCCTAAATGAGAATCAATTATTTTTCAATTAAATTAAGTGTTACTGTTACACGTTAGGCAATGGAGGATTACACATCATTACGTATCATCGTTACACACGCAGGTACACGCACGTACACGCGAGTACACGCACGTACACGCGGGTACACGCACGTACACGGAGATACACGCGGGTACACGCACGTACACGCACGTACACGCGGGTACACGCACGTACACGGAGATACACGCGGGTACACGTGGGTACACGCACGTACACGGGGGTACACGCACGTACACGGAGATACACGCGGGTACACGCACGTACGCGCACGTACACGGAGATACACGCGGGTACACGCACGTACACGGTGATACACGTGGGTACACGCACGTACACGGAGATACACGCGGGTACACGCACGTACACGCGGGTACATGCACGTGCACGCGGGTACACGCACTTACACGCGGGTACACGGAGGTACACGGAGGAACTGTCTGCCGTCGACCGTGGCAAACTGACTGGAGTTTGTAGTTGTGTAACATAACCTATTTAGTGTAGTGCATGCTGTAGTGCAGTGCATGTAACAATCTATTCGTTGTGTAGATAAGGTTATACTGCTATAGTTACACCCTGCTGTGACGTTTTTCCTACTGCATTTGTGACAATGGCGGAATCTATGGCTGGAATGTTAGGCGCCCTGACGAATGTTCTTCAGGGGCTGAATGTTCAGCGGGCACCACCTCCTGTAAAGCTTAGTAAATTTAAGGGGTTACCTCATGAGGCAGGAGATTTGTCCCTACATGAATGGCTCGATGGTTTTAAGAGTTACACGCGCCATTATGACTTAGAAGGGGAATCCAAGGCCCAGACGTTGGTAGATCACTTAGCAGGTGCGGCTAAGGAGGAGATCCTTTGCAGGGGTGATGGAATTAGGAAAGATTATGAACAGTTAGTAGAAGTCCTCCAGTCGCTGTTTAGCATTCGGGAGACGGTACCTTCACTCAGTGCGGCGTTCCACAATAGGAAACAGAAGAACTCAGAGAGGTTAGCAGACTACAGCCGTGCTTTGATGCGACTGCATACCAGGATGGAAAAAGCAGCCACCTCTTCAGGAGAGAGAAGAGCTCTGGAACAATTGCGTGATCCCTCCTTGAAAGAACGATTTGTTTGGGGTGCAAGTCAGCCTTGGGTTCAACGGGAGTTGAGAAGGATAGAGCTGGCTTCAAAAGGGAAAACGTTCCTTCATATGAGGGAGGAAGTACTGGAATTTTTCCAGGGTCAGGAGCCTAAATCGGTCATGGTGAATGAAACTGCCATTAATGCTTCAGGAGTGCACGCAGCAAAGCCTGATGATTTGCGAGGTGAGCTTAAAACTCTGAAGGAGGATGTAGCGTCCCTTAGAAAGTGCATTGAGGACTTGGTTAATGGGGAACGTAGGGCCTCCTTTCGACCGGAAAAGAAGCGCCGCTGTTTCAACTGTGGTAAGACTGGTCATTGGCGTAGGGACTGTAACAAGGAAACGGTGTGTTTCGTATGCAAGAGGCGTGGACACATAAGCGGGCAGTGTTCCAGCAAGCAGTTAACGGGCCCTACGGAGTCAAACATCTCGGCCTAATAATAACGTGCTACCTGTTCACAGGGAGGGGATGCGCTGTTGCATGGCTGAGTTATTGCCATGATAGTGTGCTACCTGTTCACAGGGAGGGGATGCACTGTCTCATGGCTGAATTATTGTCATGATAGTGTGCTACCTGTTCATGGAGAGATATCGGTCATGAAGTCCCATTCCGACGTAATGACAATGATGACAACAACGACATTAATGATGATGAAAAGGATCTTTATTATTTCTCATGGAGATTAAGGACCAGTCAAGGAGAGGTAGATCCAGGGGTAACAGTGCCGAGGTGATACAGTAGAAGCACCAAAGGGATGCATCGCAACCCTGGGCGGCAACCGGTATCAGCGATCACTGAATTCTCTCTTCCCCCCTGATGTGGTTGGATTAATAATATGCCCGGGAAACAAGCGGGGAAGAAGCTGTATACTTGGTTTCCAGTGGGTTCAGGTTGTTTATACTCTATTTTATCTTCCATAGAGATGATAACGAGTACTATGGGAGAGAAATATCCTCAGATGTAAACATTAAGTTGATTGATTTAACGTTAATTAGCTTGATAGGGGCTAAGTTTAAAATAAATTAAAGGCCAGCAGGGAGATTTTCCCTGATAGGATATATATTTTTGGAGCAAGGGGGTAGCTCAACTAATTGTTTATGTAAAATAGAGATTTGAGTATGACATATTGACAGTGCTTATTCACTATGTCACTGTACTATGTTACTTGTAAACTGAGAGTATAGGGGTTCGGCACGTTGATGTTTTTGAGCGAAAAGACTTTCTTGACGAGTCATACATTTGCATAGTTCTGATACTTTCGGGGCGAAAGTACTCCAAGCGGGGAAACAGTGGAAGTACAGAATGTTTCGTAGGATTTATGCTAACGAGGCAGATGCAAATCTGGGTCTACAGTTGCTGTTGTTTTATTTTCAACGCGATAATTGACAAACTTCGCTGAGAGGTGGCGTTAGCGTATGTGACGTCAGCAGCCCACTCTCGCCACGAGGAAAAGTTCTGTTATTTTTCTAGACAAAGCCTTTCGTCTTTGTGTCACGGTCGACGACAGACGTGTTCGTGTGGCACTCCGGAGATGCCGCTGTTTTGTAGTTTGTGAGGCTAACCAAGAATGCAGTTTATTCTGTAAGTTGACATTGATTGCATCAGAAATTGGTTGTTAATCTGTTATGTATAGGGAAGAGTTAATTAGTAAGACAATTTTCGCAAATGGTCAAACCTGCATGGCGTGTAGTATAGCCTTGCCCCGTTTAAGGCAATGCTTAGAGGATCATGGCTGATAATTTGATAATGCGAGAATGGAAACAGAAATATCACTTATACTGGGTTATTAGGGAGCTATACTGGGTTTGATTGTAAGACATTTAAAATTAGTCCGTTGTACAAATGTGCGCGCAGGGATAAATCGTATTTATATTGTCGCAGGAGGGTGCTCCCATAGCTGCTTGCGGGCATGGGTAACAACTTGGTTCATGCTGAATGTTCTACACTTTCATGTAGCAAATATATATATAAGTCTGCTTATTCTGCGATCAAAATAGGAGAAATATAGTATTTCGTTCGGTGTTACTCTGTGGTATGTAGATCAATGCAGCTGCAGTGACTAAATGGCTAGGATGTTGCCTTGTTAGTATTATGTATTTCGGTCATAATTTGTTGTAGGCTTCTGATGTGCGCCAAGGGAGTTAGTGCTGTTTTGAGAGATGGCTGAGATCTCGGGTACGATTATAGTAACACTGTAACCATGATAACTGATTAAGCTGTGTTCAGAATTTATATTATATTTGGCCGCATAAAGATTTTATATAGCAAAGAATGTACATGTGTACAAAGTATTTACTTTGGGCAATCAGATTTTATGTGCCTTCTTTGCCATCTTGATGGAAGGGAGTTGTTGTAAATGTAATAGCTTACTCGAAGCTTCATGAGCGGATTGTTGATAGATTAGTGTTGTAATTTCTGTAGGCTCTATGATATGAGGTATATGTTTTGATCTCATATGGATGTGTGGTTAATTGTCTATTTTCATTCTGCTTTTGCAGGGTTTTTTGGTTTGGTATCAATCTGCACATACGGTGCTGAGGCTAGTTATATACATCAACATTAATAAAGAACTTGATAACACATCACTTTGCGTTCAAGTGCAATATCTGCTGCGAGCCTAGCAACTCGTGGCGTGGCAGCCTAGCCTCCGGTACCACGTACAACGAAATGTGACTGAAATTCGATGTATAAACCCCTAAGATTGTTTTAAACTAAATTAATGTTTTTCATTTTAGTAATATCACGCACTATACACAAAAATGCTGATGAAAAGACGAGTGAAGGAAAAAAGAAACAGACGAGTGAAGGTGAAAAGAGACAAAAGAGCACAGTTTTTTGTCCGTTTTCGGAAGGGTGCTCTACCTTGCCGCAAATCAGGCCTTATGACTGTTGTGCACGATGCCTGTCCAAAAGCATAGAAGCCCCTGGAAAGCACGCGTCGACTGGGTGTAATAATGCCAGACTTTTCAAAAGCTTTGACAAGGTAACACAGCCCTACTTCGCTTCACAAGTTAAATCACTATGCATCCGTTGCTAAAACCAACACCTGCGATTAGTTCGTCCTGTCAGATCGAATGCAGACAGTCGTCGGTCGACGCGGAGAGAGATCGACCCTGTAAATGTAGAATCAGGGACGCTCCCGCCCAAGGTTCAGTCTTAGGACCGTGCTGTGTTTACTTCCTGTTCTACATAAATGACATCCGGGAAGATACACAAGCAACGTTCGACTTTTTGCCCCAGATGACACATTGATTCATATAGCTACTGACTAAACCACAGATTCACAAATACTGCCCAGAATGACTTGCGACCAACTAGCAGTCTGGAAGACAAGTGGATGATAAAGTTCCCACAAGACAAATGTCTGGTCCCTGACCATCACCAGAAAACTCCAACCAACCTGTGACCCACTATGCCTCTACGCGGACATCCTTAGACTGGGCGCCACATCGAGCCCCCAAGCTGACCTGGGTGTCACACTAAACATCAGACCTTGCGATGCACAACCACATCAGCTCAATCTGTAGCTAAAGCCGCCAAATGGGAACCCTAATCATTCCTGGAAGGAACCTAAATATTTCCTCAATGGCAAGCTTAAATCACTTGCCCTTACCTCATTTTGCGTTCAGGCCACGCGTGGCAGTATGCCAGCACGGTATGCCGGATCATATCAGGCCGCCAAGCGACTGCAAACATCGTGAAATGGCTCCAAAAACGAGCCCAGCGAGATATTGTCTCAAACCGCCACCACAACACGTCGAGTGTTACTGACATGTTGAAACACTCAACTGGCCGGGGCGCTGGGTCAAGACGAAGGGTGCCCCGTTTGGCTATGATGTACAAAGCTCGTCAACGGCCATGCGTCAACGTGGATAACCGAACAACCGTCTGATACCACCTTACTCGAAGCCAGCAGGAAATGTCAGAGCACTCTTGTCAAATCCATCTGCAGATGTG